CAAAGAGAGCGCGCGCGCTCCCGGTATTTTAATTCTCAGATTTATATTAATCATAACTGGGTTGCATACCAAGATTTTAATTAATTACTACTTACATTCCTATTAGTTCGGAATTTGTAATTCCTTTTGAATATTGTATTTCTGTATATCTAATTTCGAGATGGAGACGTAAGTGAAGAAAATTTTAGAGTTCTTAAATTCGTATTAGTGTATATATATTTAAATGCAATGCAGCACTATCTCGTTTTATAATAAGACACTTTATTGCACAAGTAAACATGTACGTGTACATTAATCTCCGGAATTTTTTTAAGAATAATCGAATCGGTGAAAGTTTGTTGTCGAGCTTCTTACGCATGCGAGTTTTTTTAATTATGATATGTGATAACTGTGATAAGTCAGCATTTTGCTCAGCAATAACATATTGTACATATCGTCGATAGATTTCCTTATCAATGAAGTAATATCAGTAACTTCTCTTCAAATTGTTTATTATAAATATAAATCAAAAGTAGTATTTTCTAGTATTGTTATCTATTTAATTTCGATTGGAAATGTTGCAGAATCAAAAATGAAAAATGGAAAGGACGAATCCGCGCATAAAGTTTTAGCTTAATTTTTCAAAATTTTTCCCGCATTTTTGTAAAATAAAAAATAAATTAAATTAAGGCTATGGTTCACTTAATGCTAAGAATGCTTTGAAATATTTTTTTGATTAATCAATTAGTAAAATTTTTTCTTCCAATTGGTCAAAAGCTTTGAAGTATTTGTAGCGTCAAGTGGATCGCCCTTAAAATTATGTCATTAACATTCGTTAAAATATGACTAATATGGCTAAAAATAAAAATTAAAAAATTATTAAGTATGTCACGATATTTCAAACGTTCGCAATTTTCTTTGCCAACTTGTTGCGCAATCGATACATGCGATTAAAAGTATTTTCATATCGAGTCGGCCCTCACACATATTTATCTGGTTCCTATAATCAGCAACTTGTGCATGTGAAGATAAAGACCCGCATGTCTTCGCGATAACTTCGTTTGTTGCTTGATGCACGGTTTTTTTCGATCTTGCCAAGTTTATTGAAAGAATACATACTCGTACAATTTCACTAGCTGTTATTTTATTCCGTAAATTAAAACATTCATATAACGTACACAATGTAGATATAAGAGCAACAAATAAATTATAATATACATTTTGAACAGAATTATTTTTTCAATATAAATTTAAAATTAAGCAATCATCCTTTTGCGAAGGCTTTAATAAACGAAATAAAAAATGATAGTAAAGAAAGGGATTAAAATATTTTATAATTTCATGAAATTTTCATAATTGTAAGAGTTGTGCATTACATCCTTCTTGAAAACAAAACTAAATTTTGTAACGAATTTTAATTTTGCTTTTTTTAAATTTAATATTTAATGTCTAAAATATTCGGCTATTCTTGTAACTTCGGCATATTCAGTTTTTTAGATATTTAATTTGAAGAGTGTGACAAATCGCAGAAAAAATATAGTTTTACATTCTATTGAAATTGATGACAAATGATCAGTGAAAGTATAGACAGTAAAGTTAATACATACCGGAACAAGGTAATGGAAAAGTTTTCTCTATACAAAATAATTTATGAAGAATGAAATGCATTATATTGAAGTGACAGATGTCTTGAAGAGATTGGGTTTGAGAAAAAATATATTCATTTAAAAATTATGACATTCAAGACATTTTAAAATCCTTGTTCTTTCTCTGCACGTAGGTATTTCCTCTCGCGTTGAAAAACCAAAAATATTCAATTTGTTCTATCTCAGCGAAAAAAGTCTGATCATAGCGCGCGATCGAATATACATTGAAAAGGGTAAAAATAACACTTTAATGTGATATCCGCAAGGATGCTACAAAAAAAAATTGATAGACATTTTCTAAGTCGTTGAAAGTGGCCAAAAACTTCATTTTTTGCATGTTTAGGTTAGACCATCTCAAAAACTTGACGTGCTACGATATTTTCGGGGCCAGATTCATAATCAGCACATCAAAATCTATCAAAAACAACTTCGTTTATTTTAAGGTCAAAAGAAGATTGAATTTTTGTCGAACAGTGTTATCATTAAGCCATCACCAAAGTAATGACAGTTTTTCCACAATAACATATATTTTTTTTTTAACAACAAATTAAGTTTGCAATAAATTTTTATAAAAAAACAACGAATAATCTTGTATAAGTGATAGAGGATTGATTTCTGAGTAATTAACTTTAACAATTACCTGGTCATCGATAAATATCTTTACTCTGAGAATGAACCCTCTATATATCAAAGTCAAAGCTATAAATTTGTCCAAGCTGAAATTTCTTTAAAGATTTACTAAAAATTAACCCTTTAGGACAAAGAAGCCGCTGTAATTGTCTAGAAACGGTACCATATTTTAAAGCAAAGAATATGACAAATTACAATAAATCTTATTAAAGAAAAAGTTGTAAACTTTCAAAAATAGATTCTTTCGCTTTCTAAGAATCTTCGCTGGTCAAAAGAAAATACATATAATGGTCAAAGGAAAACCTATCAATTGTTTTGATGGTAGTTCAAGGTTTGTTCGCTTGCTTCAATGTTCTAACATGTTCCTATACTATAGAAAATAAAATGTTAATTTTAACTTAAAGACGTATAGACTTTCCGAGACATGTAAATATGTTAAAATTAATATTTAATGTTTTATTTTTTACAGTAATACTATAGCTTCTACTTATTCTAACAATTACGTATTGGAGTGAATGAGTGCTAAGGTAGGAGCATGTTTAAACATACAAACTTTTAATGATAAAAAAATTTTTGATAAAATAAATAAAGACGAAAAAAGAACTTGTTACTGTAAACAAAAAAAAAGATAAATTTTTGTTTCACATTTCTTAAAATATTTGTTACAAGAAAATGTTATGAAAAAAAGAGCTTTATATTTAGAAAATCACTGTTCATCGTTTTTATGAATTTCAACAAGCGAAAGTTTATCTTATCTCCTGAGTTCCTTTGATTTATAGGGGTAGGATTTTTAAGAATTTACGATAGTGTGCAGAAGTTTATGGAGTTATGGATGTCAAACATTCAATGTTGAGTGTTGAAATATCTATGTACAACTTGGTGCTATTACCGCTGCATTGTAATTGTAATTGTTGCTACAATCACTATCGTTGCTATAAATATTGCAGCAAAAACTGCTCTTATATCGCATGTAAATACGATAATGTGAAAGAGTGATTGTGTTTTACACACATATACTTACAGTGAATGCAAAAGGTACACACGGGAGATATCTTTTTTTTAAAAAAAAACCTTATTTTTACAAAATAAATATTAATTAATAATTTATTAACAAAGAATAACATAGATTGTATATTTTTTAAAATTATTTTACATAAAATGATTTAATAATTAAAAAAAAATATATTAATAATAATCGAAAATAAAAAATTGTGTTATTTAGACTAAAAAGTATTCGTATAATTCGAGAATTTTAGCTTCTAAAATTCATATGGTTATTTTTGCGAATCTTTTTTGTTTAGGTATATTAGATCAGAATTATCATATATGACAAATAAGTAATTAATATTTATTTTCTAAATAAAAATTTTTAAAAAGCTGTAACCTCCGTACAAAATTTCGAATCAACCAGTTAGCTGTTTAGTAAGAGTTGCCATCCAATCAGCTTTTAGAGAAACGCCCTTTCAAAACCTCGGAACAATGCAATCCCCGAAAAACAAACCGCTACCTTCATCCGGTCTTTTGACCAACTTAGGTAGCAATGCTCAGTTCAGTATCGCAGGTGTTCTAGTCAAGACAGGTAGCTAGTTAGAGCAAGTCGGAGTAGCTTCTAGTCTTTTAACTCGTGGTACAGAAAGTACGTAGTGCAAATTATAGTTAACAAGTCAGAGTTAACAAGTCATTTTATATTTCTTCGCGGACTTTTATAACGGAAATATGCTAGCTGTGCTGTAGTTAAAAGTGTGACCTTTTTTCGTAACGATAGATAGGCTAATATATGAGCCTGTAATTGCGGATATTTGTACTGATATAGTATCAGTGTTTGTTTGTATTACAGCACTATCTGTAAATAACTTATACTGTGATTGAAGAAAATTCGAGGAAAAATTGGAACGATATAGATTCCATATCTGTTGTGATTTAGATTTTTCCAAAGAAAGCAAGACGATTTTTTATTTTACAGACATGAGTCTGATGGTAAGTTAGATTATTTAAATTTTAATATTTAAATCTAGTAATTTAGAATAAATAAAAAATATACAAGCACTTCGGACGCGTGCGGGTCCACATTATTATTACATGAAAGTCTAAAGGTTGTCGGGTATCATTAAAACACGCATGTCACATGTGTGTCTCAACAGAATAAGATGATCGTCTGATTTACTACAACATATGTTATTCTAAAATAACCAGGAGATATTTAATAGTCGAGAAATGTGTTTAGAATGCGATATAAATTTGTGTCATGGCAAATAAAAAAAAAGTTGCAATATTCACATCAATAAATTTAAAAAAAAATTGAATTTCTTAAAATTGCATGGATTCTTGTTTATAATTTTTGAGTACTTGAAACTCATCGAAGTTACACGTTCACTTGAGAATATATGTTCAAATATTCGAGTCTTCTTGAATTATTCTAAGCGATCCTCAATTCTACCGAAAAAAAAAGAAATTCGAAACAATGGGAAGATTTAAAATGCCTCTCAGACCGGAACTAAATGTTCTTTAATCGTCTTATAATTAGTCTTAATTTGCCTTTGTAAAGCAACGGAGGCTCGCAAAGCTTCCAGGTGAGGAAGTGAAGAAAGGGGATTCGCGAAGGCAGGGTCGCGATGACGAGAGGCCAACATGGTGCGCAGTGAAGTGAAGTCGCGACTGGTGGCGGGAGTTGGAGAACGTAGTGGGAGGTGATTCGACCGGACCGATCCGTTATATTATCTCGCGTTAGTCAGTTAGTCAGTTTCCTTTCGTGCCAGTGATCCCGCGGTGATCTTATGATTCGACGACAAGAATTTTGCCGTAAAAAAAATCCTGGCTCGAAACTCTACGTGTTTTGCGGGTGGAACCCGGTTGTAAACAAGTTCGAAGGGGGAAAATTTGAAAAATAATAATTAAAATCGTAGTATTTTTAAAGTGATCCACACGTATATCGCACAACGAAATGAAGTAGAGTGATATTCAAAGCCGCCTGATAAACGTAATAAGGGCTAGGAATTACGATCGTTCGATCGATGGTCTTCGACGCAAAGTAGTTAAAAGGCAGTTCGAATTCTCACGTTGTCGGAGATCGCCGGATCTTTGACGAGATCGATCGTGAGGTCGACAAACTCACGGAGACAATTACTTACGTCGCGAAGTGGAAAGATCAGTTAATTAGCGACCGCGTGATCTTCCGGGATGTTTTACTGCGATCAGCGGTGGCTGTAGTGAAAGTAAATCCGGCGACTCGATTCACCCGCAGTGCAATTAGCGCTTCAGTGCCTATAAGAATCCAGTCAAGTGATCCGTTAGCGTTATCGTGAAAGTTATCGATCCATTCACCTCCCACTCTCGAGATCGCTCTGTATTGCATAGAGCTTTTAATAAGTGATAACTGTGAAACGCGTTCTCGTCTTGTAGAAATTTACTCTTTGACTATTACTTTTTATTGTCTTTCATTTCTTTTCGTTTTGACTGCGAGGATCGAAGACCTTTTCTCAGCTGGACATCAACAGTTGAGAGACTAATATTCAACGAAAATGACCGTGGTAATGATAAATGTCGTAATTCAGAATTAGAATTCTTAATAGCTCACATTGTGTTCGCTCAATTTTAAGTTTTTTCTCTCATATGAAGATTGCACGCAATATTCTTTCGGAAAAATAGCTGCATTTAACACTAGACGTGATTGGAATACTTATGGCCTAGAGAGTCAATAATATTAAATTCTAGTTAATAATACTAGATATATATTTTAATTATTCCAGTTTAATAATTAAATTTTAAAGAACAAATGATAAAATTATTCTAAGTTCTATGATTTAGTCTAATTCATAATTTAAGACAGTCAAGTTTCTCTTCCAAGCTAGAAGTTACGTGAGGAAGACTGCATCTAAAAATAGTTGTCTTTTGTCTAAACTTAGAAGTTACATGCAGACAGTTAATAACTCAGAGAGGTGAAGATTCGAGTTAAAAATAGAAATTATATGCAAAAAAATACTTTTACTCGTGGTGCTCTTTCATATATTATACGAAATCTTCGATAATTTTAGAACAAATTTCTTTCCAACTAAAATTGGATCATTATTATTGCAACCTTTTTAAAATTCTAATATTGAATATATAATAATAGTTAAATATTATGCAGGTGAGATTGCAGAGATTGAAAAGATCTTAACACACATTAAAAAAAAAAGAGTTATTTCATATTTAGATAATCTTAATTATCTAAAAGTTAATTAATAAATCCATTTAGGTTTTTTATAAATTCTAAATGTTCACTGCAAATTAATTCCATCGATTAAAGAATAAATTAATTAATAGATTAAAAAATATACTAATGATTTTTTTATATTTTATAACGCAAGTTACATTTATGATTATTATTTATGATTATATTTATTCGAAATTGGGAGCTCTGTGTGTAAAAAATTAAACATTCGAAGAATTATATAAAAAATACGACAGCTAGGAAATTGATAAAAATCTCGGAATGATAAGAATTGTGTAGTTCCAGAAAGTGAATAACAGTCAATGTATAACTTTGATAAGCAAAAGCTACGTGTCGAGGAGATTAAATATTCGCGAAGGTTACGTGGAAAGCGAGATAATCTGAAAAATTGATAATAAGTTTTAAACAATGAGTCGAATCATCGGATAAATGTTATACATTAAATGAATACCTCTAATTTTAAAAAAGTATTAAAGATATCTCTCTCTCTCTCTCATATCGTTTGTTATATAATTAACAAATAATTTACTTTTTTTAACTTTAATTAACTTTTTTTACTTTAATTAACAAGTAATTTACTGGAAGTTTATGTAGAAGTTCAGTAATTGTCTAAAGTTGCAAAAATAAACAAAGATGGAAAATATTTCAAAAGCTCTTTGGGATATTTTGTAGCACATGTATTTCTATTATTAAATTATGACAGAGAAATATCTATGAGGAAAGAATTATTTTTTGACAGTGCATAACAATAGCGATTTTGTATTGTTCCAGGTTATGGAGAGAACAAACACCATTGTTACATGGCCATCAAGACTGAAAATCGGAGCAAAGTCGAAGAAAGGTAAGCAATCGATCGATTGAATCCATTTTAAATGCAATCTGTTACGGATTGTGTATTTTAGAAAAGATTTTGTAGAAAAGGTTTTGTAAACATATATAATAGAAATCGTCAATAATAGAAATTTGTATTTACTTACTACATGTACAAATATTACAGGTTAAATGGAGAAAATACTCCATAGGAATATTTGAAATATCAGATATTATATACCAATAATAATCTTGTTTCGTGTATTTATGCAAAGAAGACGTTATTTGAGACGTTATATATTGGTATGGTTACACAATCGTGATGACGAAATGCCTTTAGGCTTCATTGATATAAACGAACGTTTTCTGACAAATGGAAATTCAAGAGCAACGCTATTTTAAAATAATTGATTTATTTTAACTGTTCATTGTCAGACACAATAGCATTGTCATCGTCGTCCGACATCGACAAAATCCATTAACGAGTGCAAAGGCACAAAATATGATTAGACCGGTGATATCTTGTTTTTTATTTAATCCTAAGATAACGTGACACACATTTCAAGTGAACTGTATTTTCTAATAAAAAATAATTAAATTACTTCTAAAATTATTAATAACGCGCAAAAAAGATGCTGTAATTATGTAAATCTCTTGGTTTTATCGCTATTCAAAATCCACCTAAAAATATAAGTATTTCACAAATTCGGAAATAACTGCTGTATTTCTCTTGACAAACGAGAGGATGATTCGAAATGAGCGTGCAAGCGGAAGCTATCGATAGTTAGAGGGCGACGCGACGTGGAATTCAGATTCGGTGTGTCGTACGTCCTTGGAATATTATACTCGTAGGAGACGCAAAAATCATCCTTCGTGATTCTTCGTGCGTTCTTCGCATTCGGACTCGTGCGTAGTCGTGCGAATACGCGTTGTTCATGGATTGCGTCAACCGAGTGATCGGTCATGTCTCCGTCAACTGACGTTTTACACACGTGGCTTTATGATCGCTATTTAAAGTTTCATCACTGGCTGTAGAAAAAAAATTTGCATGCCTCGCGAAACTCGAGATTAATTCGATCCATGCAACACCGAAACTTATGAGAAAACTTTAAAAGAAATTTTCGATTTAATTGAAATTATATATAAATTTAATATTTTCGAATTTTAATAAAAATTTTAATCCATATTTTTTGTGGAATTCTAATAGATATAAGTAGGTGAATGTAAGTAATAACAATAATTACGTATTTAATAATAAGTAATAACGAACATAGTTAAATAAAGAGTAGTAATTTTTTTATACTTTATAATATCTCTCGAAAAATATATTCATTTGATAATCCATGAATTTTTAACAAGTCATTAAAAATAACTAAGAATCAAAGGATATCAAAACAATTTCAAAAAGGTTGAAAGGACGGAAATATAAAAATTCGAAGTTTGTAGATTTGCCATAATTGATTACTCATCCATATTGTTTTTCACGATTGTAAGATTAATTCATTATCTGTTTCTCGGTACATAAATTATGATATGTGGATCGATCCAGAGAATTCTCTCGTTCGTTTGAAACAGCGTCGTCGCTTCATACGAACGGACCTTGTGGAAATTTTTCGGTGATTCATTCCTCCCTCGTGACCTAAACAGCTGTTGCATGTGCCTTTTCTCTCTTTCTCTCTGTCGCTTTCCTTTTCTTTATTTTACGAATCCAATCGTACGTGGTAGCCTGGTAGCCTATGTAATCGTATAAATATAAACTTGTTTTTGGTGCTCGTTATGATTTTAGATTATCATTAGAATGTATGAGTTATCTCACACATATATACCTAAATCTACAAAAACAAAGGCGCTCAACATATGCGATGCAGATGCACGATACGAATTATTATAGATTATTCACAAGTTTTGTTTTAATAATTTCTTATATGTAATCGCGGAAAAACGTCGATGACGGCCAAATGATAACGCAAGAATCTATATCTCAAGAGTTTAAATTCCACAGAAATTCGCTTGTGGAATATTACTATCTTATTGATATACCTATTTTATATATGTATGTCAGATATATCATACTTGAGTAGGTATGTTTACATACTTTTTTAAGCTATATATAAAATACGTTTTAAAATGATTGCTATTAGGTATATGTGAAAACAACTAATTTAAATAACATTTTTTAAATATGATATTACATTAATTACATTATTAGTATTATTACGGTATATATTTATATCTTCCAAATAAATTAGATAAAAAATCACGGGACTTTTATGAAGCACACATGCAAGTGCGGTATATATATAAAAAAGATTTCTTTTTCAAATATTAAATTTTGACTAATGTAACCGAATTAATATGATTATAATACAATAAAAAATTCAATTAAATTATGTTTATGAGTAATTCCACAAATTGATCAAGTAATCTCTAATTGGAAAAATTTTAGTAAATAGTCTATGAACTCGTTATTCCGTATATATTTCAATATGCGATTTCGCAGTTTATAACAAATCACAATTGGCAATAAGTACTCTAGTATAGACGTAATACTCGAAATGGAATTTGCATTCGAGGCAACGAATGGGTTAAATTGACTCACATCATACGCTCGTCAGGGTTAATAGATATTATCGAGTTATCTCCCCCGTGTCGTGATAGGATATCACCTTGTAATTTGACCCGCTCTCGAAGTTGTAAATTTTGCGCAGCGAGATCAGCGGGATTCTAGTTCAGCCTAACCAACCGGATAATTGTCTGTGATCGAATTAAGCGTCAATCAGTATCACGCAGCCGTTCTAATTCTTCGCTGCGTGAAGATGTCGATGTGTCGCGAGTCACGTAAGCCACGCTACTCTTCGAGTGATAAGACTACACGTAATTTTTTTTCTTTTGTGAACATTTATAACTATACGATAGATTATAATGACTGTTACTTAGCATGACATTTGTGCCTGGATCGTAATCTTCTATAAATACAGTAAAGCTATCCAACATATCATCAATAAAATTGAAAGACATACATTTCTTGATGCAACTAACAAATAAAAACTATAAATTTGATAATTTAATTTAATATGTAAATTGAATTTAAACAAAAATCAAATTTATTATTATATTATTAAATTAAATCATATAATAATAAGTTTTACACATCTGGTTTACAATGAACTTTACATCGAGAAGCATAAATTGAAGAATAAAGTAAGTGAAGAGATAACATGCTTGAGTTAATTTCATAATTAGAGTTGTAATTATTTCTCAATAAATTGCCAGTTTTCTGTTTGCCCGTCACATCATAGTTATATTTAGTCAATTTGTATTGAACGATGCGTGTTTGTGAAGTAAACAACAAAATTTAAAAATCAACTATCGCGTGACTTCGTTGCTTCATCAAATTATTTAACTAGTTTTATTTTCGACCTAATTCGAGAAAATTTATAAGATTATCGTGAGATCGCGAGAAAGTTTTGCTTAAATTCATTACAATTTTACACAGCATAGATTCTTCGTGAGAATATAATAGACGAATGGAAACATATAAAGCAATAGCATAAAAGGACAACTTTTAAAATTATCCTTTATTAAAAATTTCTTTACTAAATATTATAAAGATTCGCTAAAAAGTTTAATAATTAAAAATAATTTGAAAACGATTATTTTTCAATGTATCCAGACACGAAAATATAAGTATTCTTATATGACAGTTATCATAGCTTTTTCTCGCCCTGTAGTATATATCATCGTTATCATTGTTTTCCTTGTATGCATTCTACGTGAATTTATCGTGAAACGTAGCAGAGTGTACACATCACATATTAAGGAGCACCTTGTATCATTCAGATAATCAGCCGAACCTCCGACACTGCCCTTCTCTTGTTACTGTAACGGAGGATTCATCTACTTTCTATGCTCGGCGCTAAAGAGGTCAGGTCAGGCCTCAAACTCGAAGAGTCCGCGTGCTACCGTCGCGTCGATTCTAAAAATAATCACGGATTGTGTTGCGAGGACCGATAGATAATCGCATTATAACGCTGCAGTTTCTAGACACCAACTAAGTGCTTAGAATCGTGAATTTAATCGGACTTCGATTTTCAAAAGCACATTATCAAGTAATGTGTTATTTTCCATGATATCTCTTACATAATTAAGGGGTAACACCTATGTAATCGGCTGTAAATAAGGTCTACGTTTGGGAATTTTTTTTTTGTTTAATAAATCGTGCTATTAAAAAATGAGTTTTATAATTTTATTAAGCACATTTAAAAATACAAAAAATAATTTTTTCAGAATTTTATTTATCAAAATGGCCGATCTGCAGCAGCATGATAGAGACAGTCGAAATAGCATAGTGTTCCGCAACTAGCAGCACAAGTGTCGTAATTTTGGGTTTAGAACAAAAAAACAAATATTTTTATTTTCTTTACTTAAATATCTAGAGAAATACGTAGCCGTTTTTTTTAAATATTGATTTTTGACAAAATGGTGGAAGTACAAATAAAAAGTTCCATTTTCGTCAAAAAAATCAAGTAAAATCAGCTGAAACTCAAAAATGTAACTTATCAAAAAAATTCGTATTTCTTTAAAAAATATGATTTGTTAAATACTGTTAAAATTTTAAGTAAATAGGTTAAAAATTGTTTGAGTTCTACTGCTAGCCAACTTAAAAAATACTGTTTTGAGAAAAACGCGTTTAAAGTTTTGAATGTGAATACTTTTAAGTTAACAATTGAATTTTTAGGAGCCTATAATTTTCGAAAAAAATTATGTATCTCAATAAAATCATTTGCACTTTATTTTTGAGATACCAAAGTGTATTTTAAAAGGAAAAAAATCGATTTTTTGAAAATTTTACATAGATATTAAGGAGAGATAAGAAGCTGCTTTACAATTACTCATACGATATAGTATCGTTGTTTTGATTGCGAAGTTCTAAAAATGTGTTTTTCTTTCTCTGCGCAGAGGATTCTCCGTTCGGGAATAGAATTCGACAGTGCCAAAATCTTAAAATAATTCTCAATTCTATCGTATGGAAAATATCACTAAAACCACGGTATTTTAATAATCGGATATTGGATTCAATTTCTGTTAAAGCAAATCCACTTGAGAGTAATACCAAATTAAAATCTCATTATTCAGTTGTGCGTCAGAACTTTTTAATGTTTAAAGAAGTAAAATAAAAAGTAAGAAAAATTATATAACTAGATTATCAGCGAAATTTTCATCGAAGAAACGTCGATTCTCTCTACTAAAACTCACATTTTACACGCATTTTTAAACGTATCGATCGATGAATCATGATTTTCTATTTTGCGCGTGTATCTATTTATATTTAATGATTTCTAATTTTTGATAATCATTGGAAATAGATGAATTATCGAGTCTCATCCATGCGTGACAAAGATCGAGTAATGAGCGGAACGCGCACGTGCGATCATTATACAGCGTCAATAACGAGTCGCATTCGACTTTGGAACACGTTATATAGTCGAAGGCCTCGCGTTCAGGAAAAAGCAAACGTTGTGAATATTAAGTTTGACTTCAAAATAGCTGTTGATTGGTATCGGATTTATGCAGCCATCAGCGGCGTCTCTCTATCTTCGGAACCCTGCGCGTAATTTCTTTCGAGATCACATTAAAATCATCGATAAACTCTTTGCCAATAATGTTCATCGACCTCAAGATTGACTGATAGCATTCAACATACATCAGCGTTTTATGTGTCTCCAATTTCATTGAATCGGTATAACTGTTATTTTGCTGCAGGCTTTTGGCGCCTTGGTTACATATGTCGATGCGCGGTGAGTTCATCGACCTTTATAAGGAAACAATTTCACCTCGAGTTTCACATTTTACGGATATTTTGTTTTCAAATCATAACAAACCAAAAATTTCTGACGATACACAAAAGTCGATGACTGTTTATGTCGGTGGACATATTATTCGGTGTCGGTCAAACTCAGTGATGAAGGCATTGTCGACGAAATTCTTGGCCTTAACTTAACCCACTTTGCCTGAGGCGCTTGCTATGTTAGTCAATCTGAAAAAATATATGTGAAAACACTGTGTGATATATGTAGTCAATCCGAAAGACGTATGTGAAAGATATTTTTAAAGAAGAATCTACGTTTTTTATTTGTTAGCTAAAACGGAAGCTATTATTTCAGACTAATCGCTTATTTTGCTATATGCACGGAATGAAGTTTAGTTGCATAACGTGTAATTAACGAGGTGAATTACAATTGATTGCTAAATATAATGAAGGAGCGATTCGCTGCCGCCGTTTACATTCCCTTATACTCCCATGCACACGTGTCCTACACGTGATCATCACTGTAATTAGATATATTTTCTACCTTCTTTTTGCAGATCCACATATAAAAGTCGCAGGACGACTAGATGATGTACGATCAGCAAAGGAGAAGATAATGGAAGTTTTAGACACACGGGTAAGTCATACAGATTTTATATATACGTTCCCATTCATTATATAGATAAGACTCAGTTTGTGTCAAAGGTATCGTTTCCAGTGAATGGAAGAGTTACTATTCCGTTACTTTTTATAATAATAATTTGACAATGATGTTGCAATTTTTAACTAGAATGATACCTAACTAAACGCTGAAATTACGCTAAGGGAAAGTCTACTTTGAAAAATAACTTGCATCATCATGTGTTTACCTATTGAAAAAAGTAATTTGCTACAAGTAACGACTAAAAAATAACGAGTTACAAATGCCGAGTTAATTTTTCCAGTAACGAGTGACTTTTCCAACTTGTTACAAATAACGATCAAGTGACTTTCGAATCCTGAGATGTTACTGTTATAGTTCACAAAAAAATTGAACATTGCCAAATCGTTATTATAACACAGTAATGATAAAGAAAGTAACGGCGTTACAAGTAATTAGTTACTTCCATTCCCTGATCGTTTCACAATTAGTGTTGTGAGATTATAGTAAAAAATAGAAAACGATGCGAAACCATTTAGGATTTAAGAATAATATTTATAAGTGAAAATAGGATCAAAAAAGACATGATAAATTAAGTAGACTATTTGCAAAAGTAGTTATTTTCATTTAAAATGTTTTTTGAAGAGAGTGAAAAAATTTGTACAAATTTTAATCATTCAAGCTATCAAAAAAAATCTTTTTAATTTAGGAAACATTCATTGTTTTAGTTAACTAAATAAACGACATAATATGGCATGAGAAATATAATTTTTTAAATTAAAATACAATGTATTTGGTTGCTTTTGGAGCTGAAGACAGGATTCAGCTAATTTTGAAACGGAAATGTTGATGCAAAATCAATTAAATCTTAAAATAGGTTATCGAACCAAATAAAATTGACATATTTAATATAAAATTTTATGATTTTCAAGAGCACTTTTATTATCGTATTAATAAAAAAAAATACATGCTATATTACAAATCGTCACATTTATTGAAAAAATGTAATGTTTTTTCCTCTTTTATATTTATGTTAAATTTAAATAAAAATAAAATATTAAATATATAGTATAAAAATTATCAAAATCAGTTTCATAAAAAATAATAGAAAATAAAAAGAAAAATTAGTAAATCTAATTTTAATTTAATCAAAGTATAGAGTAGGGATTTAGCTTTTAACTTCTTTTACTTTATCTACTTTTCTCTCTTGATTTTATAAGGTTTAACACAGTTTTTTAAGGTTTTTACACAGTTTAAAATGTTCAATTCGTAACTAAGGAATTCAAGAGTTCTAATATTTAAAAAAAATTTTTGGATATAATAGTTTTTGCATTTTGGATACTCAATTATTATTTATACAAAATTAGCTATGTCAATAATCGGGAATGCAAGTAAAATGAGCAAATAATGTTTTTTTCTGAGGGGAGGAACAATCGTTTTGTCGACGAGTAAAATTCTCACGAAGAAGTATGTCAGCGTGTAACGGGAATTTATCGAATATTTAAACTGCAATTATCGGACGATTCGAGAGGTCTTTTCCTACTACAATGTTACCGCAGTTGGCGCAATTTACCAGTCGTTTTGCAATAGAGGAAACAACGTTGCACGCGAAATGACTCGCTCATGAATGCAAGGACGTGTGCTTATTAGTATCAGTTATCAGTGAGTCGGCATAGGTGATTACCGAATTCGATTGCGTGACATGTTAAAGCGACCATATATCTTTTTTCAAGTGTTACGTCATTGGCAGATAAAAATTAAAAACAGCATTGAATTTATATCAAATCGGAGATTGATTTTATTAAATATTGTTTAATTTACACATGAACTCATGAATATGAGGATAACTGTCAAAGCAATATGCAGGCCAAGATAATTAAAATATTGAAATAATGAATAAATATTAAAATTTATTTATCTAATTAGGAGAAAAAGAATCAGCGATATTATCAACGTTTCTTTCAATGACTTTTGGTTGTTGGATTGTTAAACTTTCAGACCAGTTCTTTCAGCTTATGCGATGCCTTTTTTCTCCGGCTTCGTGCACGTTTCTACTTAATTACCAGACGCATATCGTAAATAAGGAAGGTAGGGGGAAATAGACGGTGAAGAAAGGAGGCGAAAGAACATATTCTATTTATACGTCGTCGTTCGTGATCACGAATTCCCAGGCGAGAAAGTGAATCGTTATGTTTAGGCGAGCAGCCGAATTGCTTAGAAAGAGAGAGACGGGGGGGAGAGAGAGAGAGAGAGAGAGAGAGAGGTAAAAAACATTCAATGCAAAATGTGAGAACGCTTTAATTAATGAAATGATTAGCACTTGCTTTAAAAAACTCGAGGAAACAAAGAGAATTAAATTTAATTTGATATTGTCTTGAAAATTTGATTTATATTAATATTTGAAAACTAGGTCAAATTTTAATTAAACTTCATCTTCGTGATTTTGAAATTTACTTTCTGAAATTCTTAGAAAAGCGATTTAGATGATTGACACTAAATCTTTCGTGTTTTCATATCGTGAACATCCCTTAATTTTAAAAAGTCACAACCAGACGCAGTGAAATGTCGTTAACTGATCCCGTTACCGTTAAATCGCGAGACGGTAGGCGAGCCGGACTTGTCGTTTTATGCCAGCCATACCGGGCGTACCGATCGATTCCTGTTACTTTGTCGAATGTACATTCCTACATGCGTGCGTTCAAGAGACAGTGCGCGAATATACAGAGACAGAAACGGGGTGAAGAAGGACGTGTGAAAGGAACACGTATACCTTCGCCGAGAGAAACGTGGATAAAATTCTGCGCTCGGTTTTCTCGGGCACGAGAATCCGCCATCCTTCTCCTTCTCTTCCTTACAATTTGCGTGATCTACTCTCGCAATTGCAATCGCGGCAAGTGCACGGACACTTTAAAATAGATGTCATACTCTGCGTCAGGCAAGCAAAAGTGGCACGACAGCAACATTTGTATATATAGCGCTAATTACGGGCCACCGGAATGGCGCGTAAATAGCGCAAAGATATTTATAGAGCTCAGTCTGCCACGTGCGTAGATATTCAATATCTTTTCGCGTCGACGTCAGGATGTCGACGTCCTGAATTTCGAAATCGCAGTCGCATCTGTCTGGTTACGTTTCCAAAACGTGCTGATTGTTTCAACTAGCGGAGAAAGATGGTACAGGCGGAGCATTGTGGTTTTTTTTCCGCCATTTCGACATTATTATCCAAATAACACTTTAACGTGATTAATAAATAAGATTAATTATTACATATGTTCGGAAATTGTTTTTAAATAAACTATGAAATATCCTTATATTCGTATGAGACCTGATGTATAAATTACAGCCGAATTTTGTCTGATAGAATTTAATGAAATATAAGAATTGCAAATTTTTGTTGGATTTGTTAGCACCGTTTTATTTTTCTTACCGCGAAGAGTGTTTGCCTAATATTTAACTCTTACAAATATCTCTTTGCGTTCGCAATTATCATGATTTTACCATTACGAAGTGAACGTTTCGAGACGCTCCGCCTAGTAGCGAGCGAAGCGATACAACGAGGATGACTCGTTATACAGGAAGGAGCTCCTAAAGTCGTACGGCGGATCGCGCGACGTTATCGCGTGACTTTATGTAATGTTCAACCACGCGATATCTAAAGTTGCGCGCACGAGTCCTCGGCGGATCGGTGATATGGTCCGAGAAGCTCACGCACGTAAAATCAACGATCTTGAAGTTATATAGTAGATATACAAAGTGTAACGAATGTAAATTGCTGAAGAGATTACACTCATGCAGAATGTAATGCAAGAGTAAACATGCTGGATGAATGCTGAATAAAATAAATAAATACATAGGAGATACTATCGCACTTTCTCTCGGTAGCCGATTGGTATAATGATACGGAATTAATATTTTATACACATACAGATTTTATTCAAGCATCTGATACTATATTGACAGAAACACATTCTGGTTTCTCATTAATTCTTATTAGTGTAATAGTATTATTAATAATACTATTAAGACAGCACTTCCAATTTTTATCAAAACGAATCTTATCTGAATTACCTTTAAATAATTTTGACAGACATCATTATCATTAATGTCATTTTAATATTTCAATTACTACACTGAGAAAAAAATAGCCTAAATTTAAATAAATATTTATTTATTCAAATACTACCAACTAAACATTTACTTACAATAAATAAATATTTACTTAATAAAAAGAAGTGATTGTTAAATCAAATTAATGTTTTTTATACCAAATAAATATATTTTTATATTTAATAAATATTTAATTGGTACTATTCAAATAAATTTTTATTGAAATTTAGGATATTTTTTTCTCAGTGTAATATCAGATATCCAGAATTAAATTTTTTTAAATACAAAGTTAGCTTTTATTTTTGGTAAATATACATTTAATTAAAGACTTGTAATACAAGTTTTATTTTATTAATAGATATTAATTTGTCGGGGTATGATATAGATTGCGTTTATCTACTCTCTAAAGCTTTTAAAGTAAATTTCATATTCTAAAAAGTATAATCTCGCTCTTAAAGATTAAAAATTGAGCCACTCTGTTTCAAGACTGGCTCAATTTTTACTTTTTAGAGTGAGATTTCACTCCAAAGAATTTAAACAGAAAATATCTAATTTCCTGAAGTAATAAAACCGAGAATATTTGTAAGTTGATTAAAATAACGAATCGCAACTAATTGGCGATAAAGATATATAGAATTACAAAAAAAAGGTCAGTGAGTCAATTTCGCAATTCGATTTTCAGCAAAGTAACAGAGTGACTATGAAGCTGGATGTTAGTTACACCGATCATTCGCACATCATTGGCAAGGGTGGCCTGACGATTAAACGAGTGATGGAGGAAACTGGTTGCCACATCCATTTCCCAGACAGCAATCGCAGCAATCACCAAGATAAGAGCAATCAGGTCTCTATTGCCGGCGAGATGGAGAACGTCGAACGCGCTCGCGCTCGTGTTAGGGTAAGATTCCTCGCAAGACGTGTGTCAAGGATATCCCAGAAGACGTACCACCTTAACGCTCGGTAATCACTCTACCGAACACTAGAAATTGAGCTATTATGAAAACAACATTACCTCGGATATCCATGATATTTATATTCGATGTGATCGGAAATTGTATGCTACAGATACAAGACGTTATTTCGAGAAAAGTTAAAATCTTATTTCTCAATTAATCGAACGTCGCGTTAATTGAGAATTTCTATTTCTGGTTTGGGTACCAAGAATGTAATGTTGTCTAAAATATTATTATGTGTTATGCGATAAAATAAAAATCTCTGCTCAAGAGTAAAAAAGTAGTGGGGTATTTTTGGGAGATCCTATATAAAAGTGGGTCACGAACGAACACACAATGAACGAACATCGAATGCTAATGAATATTCTGTTTATACATGTGGTAAACGTCTCATTTGAATTTTCACGTTTTGTAGCAAAAATTTAGATTCATAGTTCATTCGTTGTTGGTTCGCTCATGAATACTCACCTCAAGACGAAACGTTCGAGAAATGTCGACTTACGTTCTTATCTTTTTTAGAACCTGACGCCACTGATCTTTTCCTTCGAGCTTCCTATAATGGGCGCTTCGCAGAGCATGCCAGACTGCACTTCGCCGTACGTGGTGAAGATACAAGATAAGTTCAATGTACAGGTGATGTTTCGTACAAGACCGAAGTTGCACGCCACTCTAGTGGTTGTCAAGGGATGCGAGTGGGAAGTTTCCCAAGTCAAGGAAGCGACGCAACTACTGATTCGTCATATGTGCAAAAATCTAGCTGTGAGTAGCAAGAATAATCGACAAACTAGCTTGTCCTTTCAAGAGAGAGATTGAAAAAATTATTCTTAAAATTGGAAAAATTAAATCTCTCTCTCTCTCTCTGGAATTATTTTAACTTCTTATAAAATTAGTTTTGTTCAAATACTGCAGTCAATTTTTTAAAAATGTTTTTTGATTTGATAATTAAAAATATTCAAAATATTATATCAATTTCTTACTTTCTTAATTTTTACCGAAAAGTCGATGTGGAAAAAGTAAGTAGTACTTTTGCTATTATATATTCCCTATTTTTCGAAAATTCCTATTCTTTATTCAGAAACTAATTTTTTTCGCATGTTTCTTTTCACAGAGTCAAATCCAAGTACAAATGTCGATGGAGATCTCACCTCAACACCATAGCATCGTCTTAGGGAAACAGAGTAGCAATTTGAAGATGATTATGCAACGTACCGCCACGCAGATTATGTTTCCTGATGCCGGCGATCCGAATATACCCAGTCTAAAGAAAAGCAACGTTACTATTACTGGCGATATACACAATGTTTATTTGGCTAGACAACAATTAGTAGTAAGTCGATATGTTTGTACATTCGGCTGTCTAGAATTAATTTCCAATTTTAATCTCTTTTTCTTCTAAACGAGTTCTTTTTTCCTCCTACAAACATTTTTATTTTTTAGAGTTATTCTTTCTTTATACTTAAAATTCCTTTTTACAATATTCTTCCAATTCTTTTTTATAATTTCTTCCCAATTTCAGTAATTTTTAACTATTATATAACTCGTAAGATATAAAATAATCAGTACTTAAAGACTTAAAATATATTTAATTTATGTATATTTGATTACAAAATAATTTTACTTGTGTTCTCTTTCTATAATTTAGTTTTCTGTAAATATTTATTAGTAATAACAGTATGTAATTATGCCTATCATGCCGATAATTGTATGTTTAGGGCTCGTTGCCATTGGTACTTATGTTCGATCTGCCGGAAGATTCTATGACTGCTTCGGTGGATGCGGAAAAGATCTCCCAGCTTATGCAGTCTTTGGACGTGTTTATCAACGTACGTCACAAGCCAAAACAGAGTACACTCTCTGTAATTATCAAGGGAATCGAGAGGAAGGCCAGTAATATTTACCAGGCGCGGAAACAGTTGCTGGGACTGGATGAGCCCATAGTAACCGCTGAAATACCAGTTACTTATCACATTCCGAATGCTGGCAATATTTTCCAGGGCAGTTCCAATAACGATGGTAAGTGTTGTTCATTAAATCAATAGTAATTAGAAAGAAACACGATATCATAAAACAGATCGATGTGGTAATCAAATGTCGAGCAGTGGCATAGCTTTTTTATGATCTTCAATAAATTTTTCACAAGTAAATTTTTTGACAGTAATAGTAGTAATAATAGGGGGGACGAGTGAGACCACACATCAGTTGCTGTGTTTGAACCTAGTCAAAGAGTCAGCTAGATATAAAGAATTCTTTTGTGACTCCTGCTAATTGTAAGTCAGCACTGATTACGAAATTTTCCATAAATACAGAATACGGAGTTTGAACTCGCGACCTGTTGGTTACGAATTCATCGCTCTTATTCAGAGTTACACGACATTCCAAATATTTTGATAAATTTTACTACAATTTTTTATAATGTAACGACATCAAATTTCAATCATATTTTCGAAAATCTAATTAAAGAAGAATTTTAGAAAATACGGAATAATCACTTTACGTTTATTCTTTTATTGTACGTATATATATGTATATATATACATATTTTCAAACACTATTAATACTATATATATATTTCCAAACACTATACTTTTTAAACACTCTGTACACACACACACACGCACGCACGCACGCACACACAGGGTGTTTGGAAAGTAATGAAAAATCTTTCGCATAGGGGCAGAGTGGACTAAACTGAGAAGAAAAGTCATCTACCATTTTACAATTTTCGCAATAATTAACAAGATATTAATTACTAAAAATCGTCGAAATCGTCTTCAATAATTTTTTACTCAAGTACTATTAACTTTACAGAAAAACTGTAAGAGACAAAAATTATTTATTTTCTTCTTATAAGGTTCTGAGAATTTTTTCAGAATTTTTTCAGAATTTTTTAATACCGTATTTTCTCATGTTGATAAAAATAAGAAAATGCAGTACTAAAAAATTGATAAAAAATTCTGAAAAAATTCTTAGAACTTTATGAAAAGAAAATAAACAATTTTCGTCTCTTTCAGTTTTTCTGTAAAATTGATAGTATTTGAGTAAAAAATTATTGAAGACCAATTTTCGATAATTTTTAGTAATTAATATCTTGTTAACTATTGTGAAAATTGTAAAATGGTAGAGGACTTTTCTTTTCAGTTTAGTTCATTCTGCCCCTATGCAAAAGATTTTCCAATACTTTTCAAACACCTTATTATCCTTTATTAATGTAAATTCTTTAATATTTATAGGCACCAACAACTTGATTAGCGGCGTACAGGAAAACTTCTCGAGCATATTAAATGTAAATACGCAAAATTCGTCGTATTGCGTATCGCCGATTTCGCACTCACCGAATTCTCTGGGTCTGTCGCCACACTGGGGCCTCACTCATCATTATGTTTCGTCACTGTGTCCGTATCCCTACTCTCATTTAAATCATCTGTTGACGACACAACACATGCTACACAACAACATGATGGGAACTTCTCACGGACCCCACGGATTATCGAACCACGTGATGCCTCCTGGTATTGGAGCGTTTCATCATAACAACGTACCGACCAACTTTTCCGGTATCCACGGTCTGAACGCCAATTCATTGATGGATAACAAAGATGGTGGCAGTGGTGAGTAATCCCCCCCGAATTTATTCTACAAGAAATTTTACATGTCACTTTTGTTATTTAACTTTTTGATTATCACACTTTTTACGTTATTTTCATGACAGAAATAGAAAAACTTTTGTAAGAGAGCGATAAAAAATTGTAAATGCATGTGTAATATTATTTGATCTGAAAGATGAAGTGAGAGAAAATTACCGAAGTATACGTACAAAAAGACGCGTTTCAATAAAGTTTCAACTTAAATCTGAAAATATTTTGCTACATAAAAATAAATTAGGAAGTATAATACTTTAATATTATTACTATTTTAGATTTTTCCTGATGTTATTTTCATATTAAACGCTCTATATCTATATAAGATGCATCGAAATTGGTTTAATTTTTATACAACGAATTTATTTGCAGCTTATTCTTCGCTAAGTAGCGTTTCTAGTTCTTTATCTAGTCCTGCTATTAGTCCTCGTAACATCTCACCAGTCAACCCTACGGATACTAATACTAACTTAGGTAAGTCAAATGTTTCGAGAAGTCAACAATCTAGCTATTGTTAATGATTGGGTTATTTACAAGTTAAAAATAAATGTTTGTCTTTCTTTCAGCGGATCTATCTAGCATGTTGTCCGATTTACCGGTTACCGATCGACGTGCACCTGGTTGTGAGAAGAAATCGCTCGAGATGGCTGCGCAGCAGAATCTCACGCCCTTCGATTATGAGCAGAAGAAACTGTTGGCCACAAAGGCAATGCAGAATAAATCAAGCACCAACGATTTCCGCGTACCAACGTCTACTTGGTCTGGTTATGGTCTTAGCCAAAGTATTCCGCCATTAACTACGAGTGAATTAAGCAAGGTAACTATCAGATTTCTTGAACATATGTATAAAAAAATAATAAAATCAATATTTTCGACGAGAGTAAAATCAAGGATTTATATTGATATTTGTGGTTTTATAGATTAATATTTTAAAAAGTAACATTTCCTTTAAAGATTTGAATCGAGTAGCTATTTGACGATAATTATTTAATAAAATCTATAAATCTTTCTTAGCGAATTAATAATTATTAAAAATTATATTAAGACATTGATCAAAATTTTTTGGATGCAGGAGCTGACGTCACATTCTTCAGATTTATGGAAAGAACCGACTACGCCGGTGGTGTTCAGTACCGAGATGGATTTCGGTAGTATTATTTCGAGCAAGGACCGCGTTGGACAGATCGGGATGGCTTCGAATTATATGGATCATACGCCGACTTCCCATTTGAACAAAATTACATCGTCTCATCGTTTCAATGATCTGGGCAGTATGTTAACCAGTATCGGCTTGGAGAAATATATACGTGAGTATAAATAATCAAGTTACAATCGTCTACAGTAATTGCACGCCTTGTTCCATTGAGTGCCATTGCTTTGCTTTTATTATATTTTCTGCTTTTGCTTGAAAAAAATCGAAACGTAGCACCGCTTTCTTTTTCTTTCTTTTCATTCACTAGGCCTGTTCACGTCTCACGAGGTGGACATGGCCACGTTTCCTTCCTTGACAGAGAAGGACCTTTGTGAAATTGGAATTACCGCTTGGGGTGCGAGGCGCAAAATAATGCTATTAATATCTGGTATGTAACACTTTACACGCAGGGCAGCTCAACTAACTTCGAGCAGCTCAATTAAATGGATTTTCATAATCTAACAGCAAAACAAAGATTTTGAGGAAGCTGATCTTTGCATTTTGTTAATTACTCTTATTACTACTATAGGACTGTCAAGATCTCTGTAATTCTATAAAATTCTTTCTCTCTCGAAATCTCTGTCAAGCTATTTGACTAGCCAAATAGCTATTTGATTAACCAAATACTTGCATGTGATGATTTAAAATTATCTAGGTATATATAATTAATGAGAAAAAAATAATGGACAAGACTATTTTTGCTCCCGAGAACTGAACTTATCCTATTTTCTTTCTGTACTCGAAACTAATTTTCTATTAACTTCGATAACTTGTTTCTTTCAGAAATGAACAAACGAACTAGTCCGTTCTCTGGAAGTGCTGCGCCCGGCGCTGAACGGAAGGCATCCTCGTCGTCGGCGCCAGCGTCGTCGATTGGCAAGTGTAATTTGGACACTAAATGGTAAAAGAAAAATGATCGCGTGTATGTTATCCGTTCCGAACGCAGTGGCGTGTCAGCACTATCAAGGCCCGATTTCAAAGATCCGTTGCACACCGATTGTAATTATGGAAACAGATATACATACGTACTTAATAATGCTGATCGCGTGCGTAATTGTGGGGACCATTATGCCGTTATATTGGTCGTTCGGACGGAACAAACGTGGATTTACGGAAAATTAAAAGGGGTTATCTCGGCTATTCAGCTCGTGAGAATTCGACAGATGCGGTACGAATAGCCAAATAGTTTGCATGTTGATGATTTGAAGTTACTTAAGTATCAGGAGAAAGTTATTTTTGCCGAGAACTGGCTGTATTATTTTTTTTTCTTCATTTTTTTTTCGCTGTTCTCGGCGCGCGGCCGAAAGGTGCCTTAGGATTTAGGGTAGTCGTTATTATTTTCGCAGTCTTTGTTCGTTAGCCAAGGTGGACATTCGCGTCGCTATCGTTCCGTTCTTGTTAATAAATTTTTCTACATGAATACTAACGATATAATCGATTCCAATTAATAAAACAAACAAAACGCGTCAGTTGCGTGGCGAAAAAAAATCATGTGAAATTATATTTAACATTTTTGCGAAACGTCGACGCGGGTATCCTCTTTATTATATCGTGGTTCGCTTGACCGGATGATCAGTAGGTGTGAGTGAATGTGCGTATGTGTGCATGAAATATCGGGCATAAATGTTTCGAGTAAAATCTAAAAAAAATCAAAAAGGAGTTTATATCAGCTAATAGAAATTTATAAAATAAAATGCGATGGGCGAGGGATGTCCCGTGTGTTCAGCGGCCTTTCGTCCTAGCAAAAATTTACATATATTTAATTCAGACTAAGCTCGAATGCAACCACGGGTCGACCAAAACTGTATTCTTAATTGAACTTATTTCTTAATTCTTAATCGATCTTAAGCAATTCGATGCTAATCAATGATTCAACGTCGCGCGACAACTAAATGCAGTTGCGGTAGACCTTGCATGAGGTTGCGATCTCGAGTTTTACAAAGTAAGTATAAGTTGCAAAGTATTTATTAATTATTTCGCGAAAGACGCTGGACGCACGTCAAACAATAGACCGCAAGAACTTTTCGTGTAAAGCAGGTGTTGAAGACAGAACGGTGTAAAATGAATTCTATAGCGCAAATATTCCATGTATCACTCTCCGCGTAACAGATACTTTTCGAGGAGCCAGTTGAGTCGGGTATCAAATTATAATTCACGACGACGATCGTCGTGTTAATTATAGAATAGGATCTTTGTTAAATTAATTCTAAACTTGGCAGAGTCAAAGAAACGAATTTGAAATTGTATTATAGCGAAAAATATAAAAAAATTATATATATATGTAAAAGCTATATATAAAAAATTTATAAATTTAAAAAAAAGATGATATTCAGATATAAAAGTATTATCTTAATATAATGCAATTTTTTTCTAAGATTTATTTATGACATAAGAATACGATTGTGATAATTTGGACGACATATGCAAATATGATTTATACAGAGTCTGCGCATTTAAAAACGATACATTGCCAAGTTTAGATTCTTCCGATTATCCTCGCACGCAGAGAGTTCCATTGGTCGCAGTCGATTTCGCAAAACGATTGTTTTATAGACATAAGATATATTTCGTTCTCGGTAATAATTTATTCGAATTTTTAAACGTTATTTTTGTTAATTTTTTTTTGGAACAAAGGAATGAAAGCGTTAGGTAAATTAGTTCTTGATTCACGCGCATTATTATTCAAATATCAATGTAACGTGTTATACATATCGAATTAAAATCGAAGAATACGATTATTACTTATTTTCTAGAAGAAAAAAAATCGGTTTTCTTGTGAAATCCTTGAATCGCGCGTATTCATATATATAAATCCACAATCGTTAGTCCCGAGAATCGTCAGATTTCTGTGTAAAGAGTGAAAATAAAAAGGGCCGAATCGCGCGATCAAGTGGATCGAACATGCCTAACGAAAGATTTTACTGCGAAGAGTTCTTGACTAAGTCTTTTGCGAAATCTTTTTAAGCGTAAATTATTTGTGCGCTCGCGAGATAGATCGGAACATTAAGAGGAGGAATAAGTTAATGAGAATAACAAAACGGACAATTCAACCAAGCAATTCAATATTATATCCACGCAATTGCGAAATATTCTTATATTTCGCAAATCTGGTTTTATTGTCCGTTTTATTTTTTTCGCTCAATAGTGATAATAACGATGATCTAAAACAAAAAGTTCCCAAGATTCTCCAGGGCGATCATGTTATCGGATCGTCACATGGGTTATATAATAACAATTGCAAAAACAATTAGACGAAGATGATATGCCGCGAAACTGGTTAACTATATAAAATGATACACATAATAATAATCTATAGATCTATAGATTTTGACAATTTTACTGTTTAAAAGAATAACTCTTGAACTTTAGTTCCAATATCTATAGAAGTCTTGTGTGTAAAGTTAATTACTTTAACAGAAAAAGTGTAAAATTTTTAGCAACACAAGTCTAAAACAACATTTCATTAGAAATTGTGAAATGCTGTATTTTGCTAAGACAGCATCAACATATTTGTTATTATATTAGTGACGGCATAATTTTTAAAGAATTTCATTCATATTAAATCTCATTGATAACGACAATTAACATAATCTTAACTTCAGAAAAGTTTAAAAGACATAGAAAGACTTTAAGAATAAGATGAATTTGAAAAAATTAGGACCTATTTGAGTATGAATTGCTGCAAGGTTCTTTAAATTTTTATGTTGTCTAAATGCTGCATATCATCTTAATCTAATTGTGCCTGCAATTATGCCTCTCTAGGGACTACGTTTCCAAGAGGCAAAAGATAATGTTTTTTTTTTGTGGCAGCGATGATCGTTATCCACAAAAAGAATTCTGATTGGCAGAGGGTTTCAAAACGATATTTGCCCTAGGAAAATAAACAAATGTAAGCATGAAATGTGCGCGACTGACCGCATATCATATGTAATATATCCATTGTCGCTGCGGATAAAATGTACACGTACGTATAATCGTGAATATATCAACGAAGCAGCGCAAACGTCTTCGCGTTCAAAAAGCATTCGTTCGAAAATCGTCGGCACTTCGTCTCTTACACAGGGTATCTCGAAATCCAGGAATTTAAAAAGATTAAAGTACGAAAAAAAAAAGTTTAATTGAAAAGTTAAATTTATTTTGAAAGTAACATGATAAAACAACGTTATGATTTCGAGAAAATATGTTTCAGCTTTTTTTCTCAATGTTTAATCTATATTTGTGATTTTCGAACATATGCGACCACGGAATTCGAGATGGAAACACCCTGCATACTATACGGTAAGATCGTTATATTCCTTTGCCGATCAATAATCGACGGTTTCTTTGCCTAGTCCTGAGAAGAAATCTGTCAATGTTCCTACGTGAATACGCACTGATCCCGTGCAAGGTTTAACGTATACGGGTAATATAGGTATAGTCGCGGAAATTAGCGTTTAAAAGAGAGGGAAATACGCATGCGAGGAGAAGAACGACGACAACGATGACAGACATAGAGTTTCTAATTAGCGTTCTCGAGCATTTCGGTTAACGAGAATCGATTTACGTCGGGAAGAGAGAAGATATACACACTTTCAAACTGTAAAATCAGTTTTTCACTACCACTTTTCTCTAGTCCCTACTCACTTGACATTTTTTGCATTCAGCAAATAACATGACATACTTCTCTCTCCTTTTCTCTTGAAAAAGAAAAGAAAAACGAAGATAAGATCAGCTTAGAATCAGGCATTGCGTATAATCAATTGCGCTCGACCTCGCTTGCGAAACTTACGCGACTTGGAGTCCGTTGCGTTTACGAGAATACGCCGTAAATCTTCGAAATTGCGTATCGCAGGTATATTTTCTAACTGCGTCGAAAATGAGGCAGAGAAAATATTACGAACCATTAATAATATTTCATTATAGCAAACTGTGGACTCACTCTTTCCTATCTAACTTATTCAGCTTTAGATAGCTTAAAACGATAAAATGGATTAAGCTTATAATTTGCAGGATTGACTTCAAATACGACTCAGTATTTAAGAATCTTATACAAATTATAGATTAATCCATTTTAATTTCCAATGTCTTTAATGACTTTCATTTTCTTGATTTTTAAATTTCCGTGAAAAATAGATGGATTTAAAAAAAGGAAAAAATAAAACTTCTGAGAAGAACCTCGGGAAAATTTAAAGTCCACAGGTCGTATCGTTGCGTAACGATTTTTTTCGTCTTAACGGTAGATTTGCGATTACTTATAAAATTCGAAGGCATTCTTCTATTAGAGAGGGTTTAGCGATCTAATCCACTTTTTAAAAACTTCAGAAAATTAACCTCAAGTTGCGGAAATTGAAATTTAAATGCTACATCTCATTTAATTCCACTGTATATCTCAAATTAAAATTAAGTCAGTTAATCCAATTTGTCGAAATTACATTTAGTTTCATCCCAACTGATTATAATATCGATTGAATTTTCTCAACTTTATTAATTTCCTCAAGTCTTTAAAAAGATGAAGAAAAGTGAGATCTAAGACGTGATGTCATCTTAATTCAGTAGCTATAATGGCACCATGCGCAAATCGTTTCCATCATGTATCAATAAGTATAAATGCGTCGCACTATTGTGTTCTCTCTTTCATACTCAGAATATCAGGAAATTATGTTTTTTCGCTTTAGCGATACCGACACAAAATCGCAAAACTCCTCCGTACAGAAGAGACTCTCTTAGGATACTTTAGGATTGTCACTAAAAGAATACGGAAAATAATCAAGCAGTTCGCCCGAGGAAAGGACATAGAAACGATAAATAGCGGCAACTTTAAGAATAAAGTAGATGTTTCCAAGTTCGAAATTTAAATTAATTTTAAAAAGAATATGCACACACAATGTGGAAAAAGCGGAAGACGTAACACGAATAGAATGCAAAATATAGAATAGCAATTGTAATTTAAATGCATCGCACTTCTCACGCGCTTTATTATTTTTCGGGTGAACTCAGTTTCCGTCGCGATTAGTAAGATTAATGTTAGAGTGAGGCGCAAATGTGTAAACGCGCGGATACCTCAGGAAATAACAGCTCAATCTTTCGAGAAGGGATTTCTTACAAAACGATGAAAAAGAAACCGCGCTATACAATTGTACTATAAATCATACATTCCAAGGAAAAATGATGAGAGTTCGGATTAAAATGAAATTTGTAGCGTCGTAGGAGAGGCGAATGGAAAGTGTTAATTTATGTGTATGTGTTTCGCGTTTTTTTTTTCTTTCTGTGCTATAGTGTTTATAATATTGTTTTTTGTGTAATAAATCCGGGGACGTGCCCGCCCATCGAGCGCAGGTGCAGCAACTTAATGATAAATTAATTAATCGATGAATGTGTCATTATTGCATGTAAACAATCGGTCCATCGACCTGCGTGGCGGCAGATGAAGCGTTTTATAATATACAGCGCAGCATAATATTTTTATATGATATAATCTAATCTAATTTTGATATAAGAGCCAAGAGAGGATGTATTGATCTATTAATGTTTGTTTCGGAAAAAAAAAGAAACGAGAATGTCGCCCGAGATCGGGATTTGTTGTATTGAAATGAAGAATAAAGAAGATTTTGTATATTGCTATTTTTAATAAAAACTAAATATTAATATCACACACATTCACCCCTTCGTGTCTCGCGATAAATCGATTGCGGCGAATCTTTTTCCATTTATATTTTATATGTTTTAATGAGATTTAATTAATTCCAATATGATAATCAAATTATTTATTTTTAGGAGATTTATAACGAATTCCAACATAATAAAATTGTTTTTAGAAGATTTAATTAACTTCGATATATGTATACCTATAATAAAATTATTTTTGTACTTATTCTATTAGCCATGTGTTGCGACGAATCACTATTATCTTATTTAGTTACTTTGGTTGTTGCAGGGAATCTTTCTCTTTGCGGAATCAACACATTATCACATAGTAATCAAATCATTTTCACTTGTAAAGATAGTGCTTAAGACTAAAAGTTCAGGCACGTAACTCGTTCATCACAATAACATCACTTCGAGCATCGAGTCACTTTTAACTCTGATAAAATCTGGAAATATACATACGTTCGCGTTATCCATCGTCCACTCTCTCGAAGCTATCGTCCGATTCCTCGTCGTCGCTCCAAGACGCGCTCGCGATCGTGTATCTTTTCATATCTTCGGCATAGAGCTCCGCGTTGCACCTGGGACATTGGAACGCGTTCATTGCGGTAAAGTGCGCTTGCAAGCAATAATAACAGAACAAGTGTTCGCAGCCGGCGTGCGATGGCAGAATTGGGTCTTCGTAGCAGTAGGCGCACTTGGTCGCGGCGTTCATCACCGGCAACAATCCGATCGACGGTTTCGGTCGTCGCCACAGCCTCGTCACTAAGTGTTTCAGGTAGTGGAGGTTTATCATGGGTATACCAATCGTGAAGAGCTCCATCAGACCGTGCCAGAGCAATTCTCTCGTCATGTACGAGTAACCGATGATTCTGGGTCGGTGTGTTGTTATTGACTGACTGGATAGATTAAGCAGAAGCTCTATCACGCGCGGTTTTACACCCCGATGAAGAAAAAGGAGTAGATTGACGAGCTCCAGGAGATTGATCGCGTTCGTCATCCAGTCGACGAGCGACTTTAGCGCTCGAGCGAACGTGCCGCGTTCGGACAGGTTCTCGTAGGCCAATTTGTCTTTCAAGTACTGAGGTGCGACGCTTAGGATTAAGTAGAGTATAGTTTTCCTTTGATTGATGTTGACGTAGTGCAGATTGAGTAGTCGCTGGCCGAATGTCGAAGAGCCTCGTTGCAATGAGAATTTCCAGATGAGGAATTTCAGAACGGCGTCCACTTCCGTTTGCCATTTGTCGATCTTACCGGGCGTGCAGTATTTAGCGATTTCTTTGGTTTGATTTCTCAGCACCTTATAAATTTCTGCGTCCAATTGAGCAGCATCGATCTGATTTATGCGCGAGACGTAAAGTGACGGTGTCATCTTGATCGGGTGGAGGAACTCTGAAAAAATTTTATTTTTATGTGATAATTTAATGCAATGTAAAAAATATATTTTGAATTGGAGAATACATGCCACGAAAATTAATTTTTTTTTTCAAATATGTATATGTACTTTCCAAATACTATATAATAAGACATAAATTGTCATAGATGATATCAAGTACAAGAAATTATGATGTTATTCGATACACTTTTGACGATAATTTTGTGATGAATTCTTGACATGACAATGATTTTTAAGTGATACTTTAGTTAAAAATCATTAAGGCTCGATTGCAAGTCTTTGTCTGTTTAAAACGAGGCAGATAGAGTTTTAAGTCTCGCTTAAAGTCAAAATAATGTTGGAACCGGGCCTAAATTATTTATTTTTAACTAAAGTATCACTTAAAGATCATTAAACAATAATTATTATATCAACTCATCACAAAATCATCGTCAAAAATATATTGAAAGTTGGAAAATTCGTGTTAAATTAAATATACTTCACGTATTAAATTAAATATATTTCACGTTTCTCAAACGGTTCATTAAAATTTTTGTATTAAATTAACAAGATGAATATGTTAGAAAATAACGCAAATATTATACGTAAAAAAGTTAATGCCAAAAATTTAACACTGACCTAATTTGTAAGCAAACTGTGGAAACATATTTTTTTAGTAAAATTAAAATTTATAATATATTGAATTAACACGTATTTTATTCATTCATTTTTGAATTTACGTTTTAAAACACATTATTTTTATTATTTTATTTTTATTATGCTATTGTTCGCTTACTTATAAATTGTGTTATTTTAACACATAATAAATGTTGAATATCAATTTAAACTATTAATAAACTATTAAAATAACGTAATATTAAATTTACTGTTGAATATGTTAAAAATTCAATACAAAATTTTAACAAGGACTTGAATGAATCAGATAAATTATCATAAATGTTATTCATGAAAATTTATCTAGTCCATTCAAGTCCTGTTAAAATTTTTACTGAATAATGTCCATTAGATTTTTCCTAAAATGACTTAATTCAACTTGACATTAGAACTTATTATGATTTTGTGTTCTATCTGGAATAGTTACTGAATAAATCAATTACTCAAGGGCACCAAGAACGACTAAAAAACGCGTTGGCCTACGCACACTCCGATCTGTATTCAAAGATCTGTAATCAAAGTTACTTCGTCATTCGTAGTTTCCCGTACCTAATCGTGTAAGCGGCGTTTAATCTTTCCTAATGTCGACGAGAGACCGAGTATATACGAACGATCGCCGGAAATTCGTGATGATACCGGGCAAAAGGTTCACTTTCAAATCACCTCACTCCAAGTGAACGAATGAAGTTAGTCACGAGTGAAGTTAGTCGCGATTAAGCGAGATCGTGTGAAAAATGCGTCCGTTCAAAACTCGTACGCCGCGCCACGATCGAGAAATTATCGTTTTATGTCCGATAGAGCGATTAAAAACGAAACTTTCGGTCGATAATTCATACGCTCTTGCGAAGAGGTTAGAATGACACCGCACGATCGATCGTTACGCGCAATCACGTCCACGTCGCGTCATACACGCTGCCGAAATGATTCTCCGCGCTCCGCAGTTAGCCGAGTGTACTCCGGCCGAAACGAAAACGGCCGAAGACGCGCGAACGGGCGGCGGGGGTGGATGTTCGGCCAACGGGAGCGCGCGGTGTTCGCGGGCGCGTTCGGGTCGATTCGGCGCGGCTCGGCCGGGACTTCGTCTCAGTTCGGGTCCGTGTCTCGTCGCCGCTGCGCACGGGGCGCGTCCGCTGCCGCGGCTGGCACTGTATACGCTCTCTCGCACTCTCTTTCACGGCTACTCCGGCGCAAACGTTTTTGAGGTTAGGCGGCGCACGGGCACGGTTCCTCCGGCTAATAGCGAACGGTCGACTACCGTCGTGGTCGTTGTGCGTGGTTCGCGTCGTGGTGTTCGTGTTCGCGCGTACGTACGTCGGCGGGCTCCATGTTGCGGCCGGTGGTATGACGTCATCGAGTGTCGGTGGTGCCGCGCGTGTGTATCCGTTGTCGTCGTCGTCGTCGTCGTCGTCCCCGTCCCCGTTGTCGTTTCTCTCACCCGTCGTTGTTACACGCTGCTTGCAGCCCCGTCGCGCGTCATGCTCCTCTCGTGATAAAGTTTGACGTTGTTTCCTCCCTTTCTCTCTGTCTCTCTTTCTTCTCTCGTTTTTTCTCGTTCTCTTTCTTATCTCGCGAAACGCGGAGTGTACAGCCGCCTCCACCGTCGTCGCCGAATCTCGTCGGCGGCTGCCACGGCGTGCGTACGTGTGTATGTGACCTCGTCGCTTCTCCCGCACGTCCTCCCTCGCTCTCTTTCTCTCGCTCTGTAATCACCGTCTCTCCACCTCCGCTATCTCCGTCTTCTACGGACAGACGGACGGGACGCCCGCATCGGGAGCCGCACCAGTCACCCGCGGAACGTCCGCACGGCTCTGCGAACCCAGGTGAGTGCCAGAAATTATATAATATTGCTGCCGCGCGGTCGAACGCGCGGTCCGTCTCCGCCTCTCCTTCTCCCTCCTGCTCGCCGTAAAATCGATTCGCTATCGAGTGACAGGTTAACCTCCAATTCGGTCAGGCGAAGAGAGCATCGGGTAAGAAGTGTCGTCTTGTCTTTCGCCGCCGGTTCGTCGTCGTCGTTCCTGCTTTTTACGCGTTCGCGACATTTTCACCCACAATATCGCACCGCGCGCTTTTTATCGTATACGTGAGTGCTCCGTTTCTCCCCTCTTTTTTTAATGGGAACAAGCTTTTTCTCCACGGGAACATCCTGCTCCAAAACAGCTTCGCCGGAGGAGTGGAGCTCTCGGAGCAGCGATTGTTCCAGGGGGAGATCCCGGATTGTACGTATATTGCACAGGTTAGGCCAATAACACACGGCAGACCAAAGATCTGTTCGCGTTCTTTGAATTCTCCAAAAAGGTGTCGGCCAACTGCTGTGTCGTTCGTGGAAAATCCTTGGCAACGTGTAAATGAAAAGAACGTAGTAGGAAGGAACTCTCAAAAATATCTAAAAATTTAGCTAGATATAGATCTGATAATTTTGTTCGATCATAAAAATCATTATGTAGGATGTTCAATTTATTGCTAGAATGCCAAAACGTTGTTTATCAAGCTCGAAATTTTTGCATTATTGTTGGGCCATTAAAATAATTATGTAGAAATCTCAAGAATAATGAATAATGCTGCAAAGCATTGTTCATTATTCTTGATAATCTAACAACAAGCTTGAATATCACTACTGTTAAATCTATAATGTTAAATTTAACTTAACAATTTAATTGAGTCACCATTGTTTCTACTCAATCATATTATTATTTTATACTAAAATAATGGCTATATTTGACACTATACAGTGTAAAATTTGACACTATATAGGATCAAATTGACACGATATAGTGTCAAATTTAACTATCGTTTTGGTAAAAAATAACGGTATATTTAGTAGGAGCAGTGGCGACTCACGTCAGGTTAAATTTGATACTAGATTTAACAGTGTAAAAACAAATTGAGTTCTTTCTTCGTTACATGTCTATGTCAATAAGCTCGTTAGATTTTTTATTTTATTTTCTTTCGGTGTGTATTTTCAATGTATCTATAATTTCATGTTCCACAATGTTAGCGATATGATGTACTCGACCACATAATTTCCAGATTCTGTGTTCCAGTAGATTTGTGAAGATTGATATCATTAGTGGATGACATGTTACTACCTAATTCTCGTTATGATATACTGCTTGACATTTACTGTTTAACAGTGTATTTTGATAATCTAGCAATATAAGCTTGAGTATTGAACTTTTGATAGTCCAAAAAATTATTTTCAGAGCTGTATATAATTAAATTTTTAGATACTTCAGTAAACCCGTTCTTTTTGTGTATCATTTTAAAGTATATGGTCGCAATATGCGCGTTACTCCGAACCGTCGTCGACGACATCGTCATCGTGTCGCTCGCTATCATTACGTCAAGGCACTTACTGGAAGCTCGGCAAAAGAATCCAGATTGTGAACCTTGAAATAATAGCGCGATTATTATCTGATATTATTTATCCGCTGCTGTTTAATTACCGTCATCATTGTCATTATCATCAATGGTTATTATCGCTCTGTTACGACATCGTTATCTACAATAGTTTCAGAAAATTAGTCTCACCATTGCGATTATAATTGTTAGTTACGCTACATTTATCATTATTGTTAAACCGATTAAAGGAATATTGCTACATTGTTTTTCGATTTATCGCTGATTATTAAGATGAGACACTGGGATTATCTCAGTGTAAATGTTTTTAATTGTGAAATACACATTAAAAAGTCCGACGCGGATTAAAGTTTCACACAGCGGATTCCAAGTGTTAAAGGGAAACTGTAATGTAACTGCATTTAAAGAGTGAGCATATTGTTGCAAAGCATACATATATATATATATATAATATATGTACATCGAAATACATTATCTTTCTTGTAGATTGTTTTGTCTGGATGTAGGATTAATAGATCTTGACTGAAAGGAAGTAATGTCAATCACGTAAAAGTATAGTACACGAAAAGAACGGTTTTGTTGAAATATTTAAAAATTTACCTAGGTACAGGTGAAATAATTTGAAATAATTTTGTTGGATCAAATAACTATGTAGGACGCTCAAACTGGTTGCCAGAATATTGAGACTTTTTGCAGCATTGTCATCAACGTTTAAACGTTCTAAATAATTATTTTAATGATCCAACAAACTTGTTTCCAGTTCTGTAGCTATATAACTAAATTGTTAGGTACTTCAGCAAAATCATTTTTTCCGTGCATGTAAAAGTATTTACTGAAAGAAATGATTAGTACGGTTAACCATGTATTTTGTTGATATGTGCATGAATTACTATTAATATAAAAATTGTTCTATTAAATTTTGAATAGAATAAAATTTTTAAATTAAAAAGCAAGAACATTTTTCTTTAAGAAAGTCACATATCAACAAAATAAATGATTAATCATGCCAAATATTTCTCTCGGTGTATATAAAAATCCTGATTAATAATATAAGTTTATGTATGTATTATTCTTTTTCTTACAAGTCCAAGATAAATTAATATTTAATCAATAAGCAAAAGAGTCGTTAAATTCATTGAATTGGTAAACAAATTATCTTCTCCATTTATGATATAGAAGATGTCCTAATTTTCCCCTGTATCGTCTTTTTATCTTAATAATTTAAACTTAATTATTATGCGACTTTTCCTCTTGAAACATTTATTACATGCTATATCTTCGGCTTTTAACGTTGAATACCCTCGAATTAGTCCTTTAATCTATGGTATTATTGAACGCGAGTTTAGCTTACAATCATGAACGGTATTATCTGGTCGACATACTTGTTTGTTTCATTTAACGATTCTTTTTAAAACTGATAGTATCACAAAATGATAGTATTGCCGTATCTTTTAACACCAGATATTAATTGATTGGATTAATTCAGGTTAAGAGACAAGAAGTAAAGTAAAAGCTTTTTATCGAAGCTTGTACAATCGCAGTTTGTCTACCAGTCGAATTCGCACTCTGCCGAAGAGTTCACGTTATATTGGCGGCGTGTTGCTTTGACAGTAGATCGACAGACGTAAACAGTCGAGTGTATACGTGATTTGCATATCTATTCGCATCTCCCCCTCCAATCTCTCTCTCTCTCTCTCTCTCTCTCTCAGCTGCTTATATCGCTCTTGGCTCTGACCTTAATTTACGGCCCGTGGCCGCCGACATGGAAGACTCATTCGCGCGAACGAGCGAGCTTTTCGGCGTGCTCGCGCACCTGGCGACGTTATTTATCGACGCGCCTAAATCCGTCGCGGCGGCGACGCGACGGCGATGTGTAACGCGTTAGGTTGTACTCGATCCCTATTATCGCCGAGGTAAGTCTCGACGGCTTGTCGATATCACCGATAAATTGGACCGGGCTATACTACACACTCCTCGCATTAGCCACGCTCATGTGGTGTTATTTGGGGGTTTTTATTTACGTTGGCTATCGGATATTATTGGTAGTTTTTGCTACTCCACTCTGCTCCACACGCTGAGATTCCACCGTTCCGATATCAGTCTCTCCCCGAGACTCATCTTGTACGAAATATTTTTATGCGAGATATATCGGGTTGCTCGTTTTTCTGTTTGCACTGCCACTATAAGATTTTGACAGCGTAAAATTCGTGAAAAATTTATAATAAATATATAAGATTTGTGTACCTAGTACGAAAAAAATAACGTGAAGATTGGAGTGTATTCGCGAATTAATATTCATTTCTACCAATATAAATGAACACAATCTCAATTTAACTTACTCTTCATCTTTTTTTAGTTCTTAGAATTAGAAAGAGATAAAAAATAAGTTAAATCGAGATTGAGGTTAATCTACGTTGTAGAAATGGACATAAGTCCTTGACGGAGGGTAAATAGTTGAAAAGCATACTTCTTTTGGTCACAAGTGGAATCTATTTTTTAATAAATTTGATTTGTGACGTGTGACTGTTATTTTTTAGACGTGTAATTAAAAAAATTTTAATTATACATTAAATTATGCATTTTGTTGCGCATACAAAGTTAAGAAACTTGAAGAATGTACACTCAGTCCGTTGTTTATATAATCAATGTTTGCGATCTGTGCGAGAAAAAAGTTTGTAAATATATCATGGATGAACCACGTGGAGGAACCGCGGAACAACGTTATTTATAGAAGGTACAGCTTCGGCTTATTTGACGAGAAGGAATAATTCATTCTATTGCATATCCAAGTGAGGTGAAGTATCGATCTACCATTCGCGACTGTCGCGAGGGAGCGATAATTCAGAAAAAATTAATAAAGTACACAAGCGATTGAAATTTCCGTTTCAATCGTTCCGATATGGTTGAAATATGACGCGTTAATTGCTCCGACTACGACCAGACGAAATTAATCACAGAGTGAGAACGATTCTTCTTTACCTTTGACATCTCATCCATTGATCCAATGGAACATTTTCATAAAATATTAATAAAGAAGAGATTGATCTGAAAGATTTAATAAGATGTTTTCAGGGAAATATACGTGATGTCAAGAACATTATATTCAATTATAGATGTTGCGAGTTGAGCTAATTATAAATAAAATAAAATTGATTTTAATTAATGAGCTCATTAATTGTTTTTATGAAAATTAAATAATTTATGAATTGATACATATATTGTATATTTTAAAGCTTTTCATAAAATTTATTTTTATATAAAGATACGTGTCACATGATAATATAAAAAATGATTCGGTTTTATTATTAATTTGTAGTCAATTTCGAGAAAAAGCGCGAGAATTTTCTAGTATTGTGATATCGGCAGATTTGCAGTCTGCATTTGAAGTCTGTATACGTGAGATCATTATTTTATTAAAATTATGTTCAATGATAATGCACGTGTGTTGTTCTCAGCAGCG